TCTTACTAATAGTTTCAAACCTTTGAGAAAAAATGCATTGCCTTATGATAAAACGACTACTCACAATTATATTCTTTTGGCTGCGAGACTTTACTTTGTGTGTTTGGTTGATTTAAACAAGACATTCGAGTTATTTTTCTTTTTCTTTCCATATTTTTTTTCTTTTGGATATTTTGTTTTTTGTTTTTTTTTATCATCCCTAACACAGAGCTGGAGTATTTATAGTTTTAATTTTATCTGTCAATTATCATGTTATCTGTATTGTTCTGTATAAATAATAACAATAAATATACACTCCAGGCCTCTTCACAAAAATCATTTTATCTCAAATTAAAAATTGAATTGAAAACTCTAATAATGACGTCAACTTCTCAGTCATCATCCCAAGAACGGCAGCTAACAAAAAAATCTATACCTACCACTTACAAACAACTGTCCTCTCTTTCTCTCTACTGGAATTTATTATTTAGCTTCGGAAACTTCGCCGGAGAATCATACGTCGTCGTTTTCCGTTTTCCATGGCGTTGCTCAAATCCTTCATCGATGTTGGCCTAGACTCACAGTTCCCTATCCAAAATCTCCCTTATGGCGTCTTCAAGCCGGAATCGAACTCGACTCCACGTCCTGCCGTCGCTATCGGCGATTTCGTCCTGGACCTCTCCGCTATCTCCGAAGCTGGGCTTTTCGATGGTCCGATCCTTAAAGACGCCGATTGCTTCCTTCAGGTTCGTTTTTATTCGATTCCTGTCAACACTCGGATTACTGTGTAGTGACCTGTGTAAGTTAGCCATTTGAATCTGATCTTTCTTCTGAAGTTTTCTCCATGGTTAACTACGATTGATGCCAAAACGAAGAAGTTGATGACTAGTTCTGCTGGATTACGTCACTGATTAATTACTAAGCTCGAATGATTCGTTTGTTCTACGCAATTGCTCGTTGCTTCAATTGATTATTATCTGATACAGTTTGAGATTTCTGTTGTTTTATGATCTGATGGTATAGTTTATTGCTCACACTAATTCTGTTTTGTACGGGTTATGTTATTCTTTGATATGTTCCCTGAGGAAGATGAGGTTCTTTACTGTTTTTGGTGTATTTGTTTTGTTGTTAATGTTTAGTTTGCTTGCTCTGTTTACAGCCTAATTTGAATAAGTTCTTGGCCATGGGACGACCTGCATGGAAGGAAGCGCGTTCTGCGCTTCAAAGACTCTTGTCATGTATGCTTGGTTTGATCCTATTGATTTGGATTATGTGGAGTTTTGGTATTTGACTTCAAGGTTTTGTTGTTTTGGTATGTTTTGATGCAGCTAGTGAACCCACCTTACGAGATAATGATGTTTTGAGGAGAAAGTCATTCTATGAGATGGTTAGTAGTGTGAAGAAATTGTTCCTGAAACAGGGGAGAGTGAATTTTTGAAGATATTTTAATAACGTTCGTCATTGTTTGGTGCGAATCTGCAGAGTAAAGTGGAAATGATTGTTCCTATGGTGATTGGAGACTATACAGATTTCTTTGCATCTATGCATCACGCGAAGAACTGCGGACTTATCTTTCGTGGGCCTCAGAATCCGATAAACCCAAATTGGTACATTTATGTTACCTTTGAGCTCAATCTGAAGTGGTTAGATCGAAAGCTCAATCTTCAGATTTTACGTGAACATTACCACGCATTTCAGGTTTCGTCTTCCCATTGCATATCATGGACGGGCTTCATCTATTGTCATCTCTGGGACCGACATTGTTCGACCAAGGTTAGGAAATTGATTATATTATATGTTTTTTGTTTTCTTATTACACTGAGATGGTTGTTAAGAATGCATGTCATATTTGAAGTATCATGCAAGGTTATATGCTTTGGCAAGAAAAATAGTTGTTCTTACTTTGTCAAGGGTTTTATAAAATATTCTTACAGTGAAACCAATGCTGGAAGATAGTAAGATTTCATGTAAAAAAATTAATAATGAGATGCTAATTCCAGTTTTATCCTTGCTTCTTTTGCTTTCTTCCAGAGGTCAGGGCCATCCTCAAGGAAATTCTGCACCATATTTTGGACCTTCACAGAAACTTGATTTCGAGCTTGAAATGGTAAGCATCCGAGGCCTCCATTATGATTTGTTTCAGAATGATTTGGTTGATGCTATTTGGTGTTACTTATGGATAACACCATTCACAACACCACAATGAATTCTAACCTCTCTTTTGTCATGTGATATTGATCAGGCTGCGGTGGTTGGTCCAGGAAATGAATTGGGAAAACCTATTGATGTGAACAATGCAGCTGATCATATATTTGGTCTTGTACTGATGAATGACTGGAGTGGTACTTACTTAACCATAGTTTTCATTGAGTCATCATTAACCTGACTGTGCGTGACCGGTTCTATTATATGTTTGTTGTTATAGCTAGGGATATTCAGGCGTGGGAGTATGTGCCTCTTGGGCCTTTCCTGGGAAAGAGTTTTGGTGAGAATTAGTATTCCAGTTTGATCTTTGGCTTTTTCAAAACTTCATTTTCATCTCCCTTAGTTGGAGTATTTGAGCAAAGAACTTCAATGAATGTTGTTTTGTTGTGTCATAGGGACTACGGTATCCCCTTGGATTGTTACCTTAGATGCGCTTGAACCTTTCGGGGTCCAAGCTCCCAAGCAGGTTGATACTTAACTAGCAGTAACAGTCTGTTTCATCATGTAATCACTGATTCTCTCTAACGTAAGCTCGTTGCAGGATCCACCTCCACTGCCGTATCTGGCTGAAAAAGTATCTGTAAATTACGACATCTCCTTGGAGGTAGCATTTAATATTACTCGTGGAGTTTAGTTTTTCCGGTATCAGCTACAATGTATGGTGGATTAGACTGAAATAATGATAAATGTTTTCTCCTCTTATAGGTTCAACTGAAACCTTCTGGTAAAGATGATTCTTGTGTAATAACAAAGAGCAACTTCCAAAACTTGTGAGTTCCTTTCTAAGTTTATAATCTACTTACCCATTTCCTCCATATTCCAACTCTTTTAAAATGACTGTGACAGATATTGGACCATAACGCAGCAGCTGGCTCACCATACCATTAACGGTTGCAACTTAAGGCCTGGTGATCTCCTTGGGACCGGAACCATAAGTGGACTCGTAAAGTCTTTTCTAGCCGGTTCCTTCTGCTACTTATCAATCATGTGATGGGTAAAAAATAAAACGTGAATGATCTTTGTTTCTTGATACTAAACGCAGGAGCCAGATTCATATGGGTGCCTACTTGAGTTAACTTGGAATGGACAGAAACCTCTATCAATGAATGGAACAACTCAAACGTTTCTGCAAGACGGAGACCAAGTAACCTTCTCAGGTTTATGCAAGGTAAGGATCTTGTATCAGCTAATTGACACAGTTTCTGCTCTGGTTTATGTCATTTGTTTGCCCAACAATTATAAATAATTTAATTTGTTGTCTAAAATTTCGGATTTTAACTAAATTACGTTTAATGATTAAACGTGTGTAGGGACATGGTTACAATGTCGGGTTTGGAACATGCACAGGGAAAATTGTACCTTCACTTCCTTGATTGAGCTCTTGGTAATGTATCACATTTTGCTTCTTTTTAATATTGCCCTGAAATATTTAGACAAAATGATAGTACTAATTCATAAGTTTATTTTCTTTCACTTATTTCATTAATTTTCCTTATTTGTAGGCCCAAAAAAAACGGTGAAAAAAGGAGCCCCATAATCACGGTTTCGCACTTGGGGTATGAATATGATTAACCCCATCCGATTAAATAATAATAACTCATCTCGATATTGTTGTAATATGTTATTGAATCTTTTTTATAACGGAATATAAATAACTTTCTATTTAAAAAGCGATTATCATCAAGTGTGAATATGTCCTTTAAAAACGGTCGGTCGCTTCTGTGTATAATGTTTTTACAATAATTGGTTATTTGTGAGAGTATATAAACCAGAAATGATTCAATAACCACCACCGACAACAAAATTCCCATCCATATGAAAAAAATGAAATTCTCATCGTCGACAAGAACCACCGTTATCCACACTTTCCATAATGACAATATTACCCCTCCATCAACCAGACAAATCCCGATAGAAATCCCATCTCCGGCGGCGAAATCCACCGTCCAGACTAACCCCTCCGCTTCCGCCTCCTCCGCCGCAGCCCGGATCAAGTCTGGCTACCGTTCTTACAAAATCCGAAGTCTATACAAAACAATCTCATCCGTCAATCGGGAAGCGAGTCGTGTACAGAGCATGATCCAACGGCAGGAAACGGTAGACGCCATTAGAAGCGACGAGAAGGAACGGCTGAGGATGAACGAGACTCTGATGTCTCTGCTTCTGAAACTAGACTCCGTGCCGGGACTAGATCCGACGATCAGAGAAGCTCGGAGGAAAGTGAGCCGTCGGATCGTAGGGATGCAGGAGATACTCGACTCGATCTCGGAGACCAAAGACGAGAGTCAATGGTGGTCTTGCTACGATATCGGAAACGACGCCGGAAAAAGCGGCGGTGCCTGGCCAATGTATTGGGAAGAAGCGGTGGAGGAAGAGATGTGTAGAGAGAAAGGAGGTGAGGAAATGGAGAGATTCTGTGCTCAGTATTTGGGTTTCAGATGTTTCCAGAGATTTCTCAGAGAATGACGGCGTTAATAATCCCCTGCGCCGCGCCGTACGATAGATGTTTCTCTTCTTTTTTATGGATCCGTTTATGTTCCGTTAAATTACGAAAGTTTCCGTTTCGGGGGTTTTGTTAATTAGGTAAACGGAATACGCGCCGTTCTGCACCCATAAAAAACGTCACGCAGTTTCTGTAGCCTATATGCATTGCGAAATTAAACAAAAATAATAGCTTTCAAAACTCAAATTTGGGTCCATACAATATTTATATATAAATGTCAATAAATTTAGAGAAGCATTTTTAGATTTAGGATACGACTCCTACTGTTATATTCCGGATCGGTTTCAAAAAGATGGAATGTAGTGAGTTTTTCCAAATCTATTGACTCTAAATTTTGTTCTTTCGATACGGAATTTGTTGTACTCTTATAAAAAGTGTCGTTTAACCTTTTTATGAGGTTAGTTTTATGTACTTTTTGTTGGATTGACTTCTCAATCTAATACAATGAGGTTACGATAAGAAGAAAAATCAACACAATAAAATAACAAAAGAAAAACAATTTTCTTGTAATTTTTCTTGAAAAGTTTCGAGTTGATTAAAAAAAAAAAAAATTCTCCTTACAGTGTTTAGTTGCAATAATATTTATCTCACATACAATTTTGATTTTTTCCTTCAATAGTTGTGTTCCTAATCGAATTATACTAACACCAATGGATCAGCATTAGGTCCGTCGTATAGTTTTGACAGTGACACAAAACAATTCAAATTCTACAATTCAACATACTACATAACATCCAACATATATAACATACAAGTTAAACGAAATAAGAGAAAAACATTACACATTATTATTTTCAACATTATTAAGTCGATTAGTACGCTCTTAAGCCGCACAACTACACTTACACCTCGAAACGCAGCGTTTACACTCCACCAGCGACGGCTTGGCCACGGCGTCGCAGCCGCATGTGGTGATGCACTTCCTCTGAGACACACCTCCCCAAAGGCAACGAGCCATGCATCGGAGCACCGGCACGCACTTAGGACAGTCGTATTTCATCTGCTCGGCCATGCATGTCTTGCAGCTGTTTTGTGACGGTGGATGTCGGCAGCTACCACCGGAGCCCACTACGGCTGCGGCGGAGGCTCTCGAAATCGATAGGAGGAGTGT